TATCAGGCCTATCTGCATTTATTATGTACATCTTGGATTTAGAACAATGAAGTAGTTGCAGGCTTCCAGATTTATGCACTTTAACATAATATGGATAATATGTAAATTTACACAACAAGAAAGAACAGCTAAACCCACCAACTTCTCAGACTTGTGGTGTATTTGATCATTCTTGCTCAGACAACACATAACCAGGGCTGGTTGATTGACAGTGTATCTCACTTTGTTAAATTCAATGAGGAATGCTCTTCACATTAAAGACAGTCTGATCACTTTGCAGGCGGCCTCGTTTTACTGTGATAAAATGGGCTTCGAGCCTTTCGCCTACAAGGGTCTGGAGACTGGCAGCAGAGAGGTGGTGTCCCATGCTATCAGACAGGATAAGGTATGCAGTTTAATGTGCTAATGGAATTACTAAACACTCACAAGTGATTTTACAGTTTATCTAAAACATGGCCATCTTCCCTGTCTCCTCACAGATAATATTTGTGTTTGAATCTGCTCTAAATCCTGGAAATGAAGGCGAGTTTTCACATCAGAAAACTTGAGACTGTATGAACATTAACTCATAATATATAAAGCACTTCCGTGTCTGAGTTTCTGAATGTTTTTTCATCTTTTCTCAGAGATGGGAGAATACTTCGTTAAACACGGAGACGCAGTGAAAGACATCTCTTTCCTAGTCGAGGACTGTGACTTCTTAATCAAGGTATCACTGATACAGAGGGCCCATGTTTGACTGTGATGTGCTGGTGGAGGTTGTACAGGAGGAAGTAGAATTAGACAGAGATTTCATTGCAAGAAGCAGAAATGATTTTCATCTGGCCAGTGTGTTTTCTGTATGTATATACGACACAGTTCTTACTATTTGATACAGTTGTTTATTTTTACACAGCGACAAAGAAGCACTTAAGTATTTTCATTAAATAAAGACTAGCAAGCAATACCACAGGGTAGACATACTCTATTAGAAGAGAAAGTTTTACTTATGTAAAAGTACAGAAATGTATTAGACTCAATGAAACTCAAAAGTTATATTTTGCATTGTGCAGAATGGCAGATTATGATTACTTATTTTATCTTATCTTATTTGAGCTAATCTTATAATATATTTTTAAAATCATGTTGTATTATCTATACCGGAATCTATATACTGTGTCTATATAATCTTTAAAGTATTAGTAATAGAAGTAAGAAGTAATAATAAAGTAATAAGTGTAGGTAGTGGATTTGAGTCTCACTGCATATAAATGCACTTTCTATCTGTTGAACATCTAAATCCCTGTATCAGGGGTAAACATGTTGATGCTGTGCAGCCTTAATGTCAATGGTTGATTTGAACTCATCAGTTCAGTCGAGGTCAGATTGCAGGTTTGGATAAACTCTCTGTGTTGACTCAGCCAGACACAAAGAAACAGGATTACTACTGATTCCATGCAAAGTTCTACAGCAGCAGCAGCAGCAGCAGCAGCAGCAGCAGCAGCAGCAGCAGCAGATCAGAAACCTGCCCTGTGTAGGGAAATATTCTGTCCTCAGCCACAGGAGGGCTTCCAGGAGCAGCTTACACACAGAAACACAGTGTGTGAGCTGCTCCTGCTTTTCTTATCTGATCCCAACACCCCTGTGCTGACAGACAGCTAAAGAGCGAGGAGCTGTGGTCGTCAGGGAGCCCTGGGTGGAGCAGGACAGCAATGGGAGGGTCAAGTATGCTGTGGTTCAGACGGTACGTAAAGACTGACGCAGGTCTCATGAAAATACACACATGAAACTGGAAATGATTAATTATTGTGTCAATGTTTTGTCCTCAGTATGGTGATACAACACACACACTCATTGAATACCTTGGACCCTACAAAGGCCTTTTCCTGCCCGGCTACAGAGAGCCTCTGTTCAGGGACCCTCTGTCCGCCACACTGTGAGTCAATAACATTTTACCATCACATAAAAAGTGTAAATGTGTAGCAAACAATGAAACAGTTTAACAAACCTTTGAGTATACGTAGCAATACTACAATGTCAAATACTCCTCGACTGGCACGTTTCATATATTAAAATATTATATTAGGTTAATATTAATATTTTTTAAATTAATATTAGGCTTACTTTACCCAGCACCCATGGCTAGAAAAGTAATCAATCAATCAATCAATCAATCGAACGCAAAACAAGACTGTATGTTTCCATATTTGTGTTATTTGTTCACTGATAATATGTTTGGTTTTGACTATGTGTATTTTTTAGATTTTGTTATTAGTAGTAGAGTAAATTTACTTAGTTACTTATCACCTCTCGTGTACTGGTCTAATTTGGCCTGACCTGGCAGGAAGTATAACACTGGGTAGTTATAAAAGAATAGCGATTCAATAATGAATGGATAGCGACTTTTATTTTGTTTCTAAAGTCTTGTATTTGGTTATTTTTCGTTTTTAGACCCAACGTCTGTAGGTAAAAATGTAAACATTTAAAAAAAAAACTCAGTGCTTTTCTATCTTCACAGTCCACCAGGAGGTTTGAACTTCATTGATCACATTGTGGGAAACCAGCCAGACGACCAGATGGTGCCAATTTCAGACTGGTAAGGCTCCTGTTTGAGTGCACGTACACATTGGACGGCCAGTGGAGGACACACAGGGGCAAAGGGACAAGCAAACACTCCGCCTCTGTCTCAGGGTCAAACGCGACATCACTGGTCAGCGTGAGGAGAGGACACATTCATTTCCACATAAGTCCCAGTTAGCTTATCATCAAATACTCTGCTGTTCTCAAAACCCCAGGTATCAGAAATGTCTGATGTTCCACCGGTTCTGGTCAATAGACGACAAGCAGATACACACACAGTACAGTTCACTGAGGTCCATAGTGGTGGCCAACTATGAGGAAACCATCAAGATGCCCATCAATGAGCCGGCCATGGGGAAGAAGAAGTCACAGATTCAGGTGTGATTTCAGCTCATTTCATCAATACAGATCATTAAACATTTATCACAGCAGTTTGTTCTGTTACTGGTCCTCAGGGGTCCACATGTGGGGCCCCAGCACAATAAGTTCTCATATGTGGATTTGTGACACATCCTGGTTTACAGCTCTGCCTCAGTGCATTTCATGTCCCTCTGCACAGGAATACGTGGACTATAACAGTGGAGCAGGTGTTCAGCACATCGCCCTCAACACGTCAAACATCATCCAAGCTGTGAGTCCCCCCAACGTTTAATCATCATCAAAAGTTGATCCACAGACTTCATCTTTGCACATCCTCCCCTAAATCTACAAGCAGAGGCAAGTTTTCCTTTTTTTTTTCCTTTCTCAAAACAGATAGTGAACCTACGAGCCAGAGGGATGGAGTTCCTCTCAGCACCTGACACGTACTACGAAACCCTGCGGGCGAAACTCAGAAACGCCAAGATCAAGGTGAAGGAGGACTTAGACCGTTTACAGGTGAGGAAGTGTCAAGTTGGTAATGATCCACAGGCCTTTTTTTTTGCTCATGTTCTTAAGTATTAAAAATCTGTGTCTTTTCAAGGAACTAAAAATCCTAGTTGACTTCGACGACAAGGGCTATCTCCTCCAAATCTTCACCAAGCCTGTGCAGGACAGACCGACCCTTTTCCTGGAGGTCATTCAGCGGAACAACCACTTTGTAAGTGACAAGTTTTGCAATCCACAAGTATACCTGAGAAGCTGGGGGAAAATCTTTGAGCATTTCACTCATGGAACTCCTGTGGTCTTGTTAAAGAAGGCATAGTGGCCTGAACACCTGTTTAAAGCTCCCACCCAGGGTGAACAGAGCAACAGCAGCCCACTTGTAAAAGCTCAGTAAATCTATCACAGGCACAGATTAAAAGGCTCACATGCTTCTCAGTGAGGGGGATCTTTGGATTGTGTTGCACCCTGTGGCACTCAATTTATAACACCCGGCGCCTATTCTTGCTTGTCAGAACAGGCACGTCTTGTCACTCTCCAGCGTTTCAGCGAGCCTCCAGATGTGGAGACAATGCATAAAAAGTGAGAAACCGAATCCGAACCGCCGCAAAGAATTTCTCAGAGCAACCACCAGCACTTGATCTTTTTGATTACCGACAAAAAATTTACATGATTAATTTTGCGAGCTGCCAGCGAGCGCGGCTCTCTGTCGGAGGGGCCCATGTGGACGTTTGAACCCTGTGAGAATATTTATCTGATGTTCGTGATCCAACATCAAAGTGGTGAAGGGCGTCTGGGAGAAGAATCCCCAGAGCCATAAGGAATGACACAGAAGACGGCAGATCTCTGGGTAATTAGACATCTGTGTGTGTCTGTTCTCTCTCCAGGGCTTTGGGGCAGGGAACTTCAAGTCACTCTTTGAGGCCATTGAGAAGGACCAGGATGCCCGGGGCAACCTCACTGTGCTGACACCCCAGGGCCAGGCCAAGGCCTTGTACTGATGCTAACCCTGCTGCTGCCAGACCACACGGAGACTGCCAGATATGGATGTACATTTCAACAAGGCCAGCAATATATCAAACACAGTCTTCATGTGACAACTACCATCAGATATGCTCAAAGCTGTCAGTAGATTCCATGCTCTATGGCTAAATAAAGAAACTCATGCTTGTGGCTTGCTGTATGCTTGGGAAACAAGGCTTCAGACGTTAATGAAAATACGCTTATTATAATATCTGCTTTGAATTATTGAGAAAAATGACCCTACTGTTGTGTCTGTATTGTAAACAGGATTTATTATCATTTTATACAACTTCCCTTGTAAAACTTGCTGCTTTAGAGTAGCTGGTGGGGGGGCTTTCTTACATTTGGATAGTACCAGGTACCTGCTAGCAGTAGCTTAGTATTTATCATACAGACATGAGAGTGGTATCAATCTTCCTATTGAACACTCAGAAAGCGAACAAATCAACATACTTCTCTTAATGTCAAATAATTACTCTGCTTCAAGTTAATCAAGTCACATGTGAAATTTATCCAGCCCTGTAAATTATGCATTTGTCTACCAGCTGGCATTGGACTATCACAAACATAGCAAATGAACTTTTGATTGTCCAATATGCACCGATATGAAAACTTACAAAACAACATACAGAAAAATATGCTGTAGGTAATTTAAGTGGTGAATAGTGACCATACCTAAAAAAAAAAAAAAAAAATCTTCATACCAAATTTAGCAATTCCCTAGTTTCTATTTGTAGTCCATGTGCAGGTAAAACTTTGCAATATATATGTACAGGCAGAGTCTTGTAACAGGTGAACACTGTTTTGTAAGTTGAGTTACATAATTTTTCACATGATTTTTAAAAAAATTCTACAGGTGACTTGACGTGACTGACTCGACATAATTTCTTGTGTTTTTAAATGTTTTTGAATCCTAAAAATTCAGATAATTTCCAGGTTTTCATTTTAATATTATATTTGTTTTGAAGTTCTTTGAATGATTGAACCCTATAATAAACCATTTAAACTCTGTAAATTATATCCAACATTCTTCTTCCAAGGTCTGATAAAATGGCCCAATTATATTTTATACTCTGACTGACACTTGTGTGTGAAGTAACTTTGGATGAACTATTCCACTGGAGCCCAAACACAACACATTAGAAAAGATAATGGGACACAGGTCTTATTTCAAAATAATTTATTTGCATATACTTGGAATGAAGACAGGTTGATACATCTGTGATGGCACTGGTCAGTTTCCACATAGGAACATTCAGTCTATACAGAAACCACTCTTTCAAACCTGGACAAAATGGATAAATATATTAGTAAATAAATATATTAGTGACATGTCACTATATTGAAATGTTCTATTATATATAAAATACAACACTATTTCATTTCTGTTTTTGTTGTTCTCGTTTTTGTACACAAAGTATCCAAAATATACTGACACATCCCTTAAAGCTCTGGAGGGATTTGTTTTTACTCTATTAGAAAAGGCAGTTTCAGCTCATTATTTTTGCAAAACATAACAAAACAAAGACATGAACGATGCAAAGAGCAAGAATGAAATTACATGAGATATTCTGCAGCATCAGTAGATGCTCATTTTACTTTGCTGGTGGTTTTGGGATTGTTTTAAAATTAATATTAGTAGATTTGTGTTTTCTTTTCTTTTTTTCCCCCCAATGTAAAATTTGCTAAAACCAAAGTGCTGCTTGTAATTCAGTCATTTTCATCTCAGAGACTGTTTGGGCATAAAAAATATCGAACAAGGAAACTGGGATACTTTTGCTAGAGGACGCTGAGTTGATTCATTCAGAGTGAGGTATTATTTTTAAGAAAATGGATACGTTAAGTTCTGTATGATTGTCCAAAAATGATTTCCACTTCGATTTTAGCATGTTCCCTCGTCTCAGTAAAAGTACACTTAATTCTGAGATTTCAGGACGGGAATGAAGCAGGAAAAAAAGGCATATCACACACATACTGTGTTACAAGGCCACTGTGTTGAAGATTTTGCGTCTTTGGTTAGACAGGTAAGAGCTTAGTGTGTTGGGAGTTTCCCGATTCAGGATTACTAACAGTTTGCAAAGAATAAGGCACATGGAAGTCTTTAGTAAGTGCTACTGGTTACATTGCAAAACCCATGCGTTTTTAGTTTGCTGTTTGTGCTGAGCTAAACTGTATCTGCAGTCTGACTGCAAATAAAAAAAATCCTTTCACATTTTCACTGAGCCTTCAGGGAAAGTCCATGATAAAGCTGAGATCCCTTTTACTCTGATCTCAGATTATTTAGTCGAGTACGTGCGTGCATGAAGACGTCTGTGGTGAAGCCAAATGTAAGAGAGCCATGTTTGATGGCATGATGATGGCTGACTTTTATCTGCATAATATAAATGTACAGAGTCGTTTTCTTGGAGCACGAGCAACGTTTTGTATCTGTCAGTCTGCCAGAGGCTAAATGGGAACAGAGGGGCGACTTGGTAAAGATCTAAACATAGATTCTGTCATTTATGAAGTGATATTTTTTTTAAAGTAAAAATATCTTTACTCAACACTGCATTCGATTTCTGGTGAATATTCGTTTTAGCACTGGAAGTGACTGGAAATGCACATTTACCTCGACTCAGGATTTTTCATCATTCTGGATATAATTTCTGCAACTAACATGAATTCTTCCCATCTTTCCAGTGTTTGTTCCTGAGACACTTTCTCAGACTAGACTCATTACAAGTTTGAAATCATGGGATAAGCATAGCAAGCTCTCATTAGACTGTTGCTAATGCAGACAGACTCAGCTGATGCTCAGGACTGTAAGGACCACCTAGCATGGCTTCACTCCACTTATAATATTATCATTATACAGTAAAATCACTATGTATTTTCTATGATTGCAAGGTAGAACATTTTTCTAGAGCTTTACTTGCTGGAAGACAGCGAGGGGGGGGGGCATTGTGATGAGTTGAGCAGCGGACATGTCGTTGTCCTTCTGATGGGTTTACTCTGCACAGATGGGGGGGGTAACAGCACGTGATGAAACCGTCAGTGACAGAAATGATGCAAACCAGACAATAGCTTGTAATAACGACAACATAATTCAGTCAAACCGGTTCATTTTGAAAGGTGAAAAAATAATTACAGGCTACAAAAAAAAAGAAAAAAAAAAGTTAAAAACAGCTGCCATTATTGAAATAATGAAAACAAGGCCCATGCGTGGTTGAGCAACCTCAGTGAATGCTCATTGTTTGAGGGGCTGAGCATCAACCTTTCTCTCTATTTGGACGAGAGGATAACTTTTAGTTTAGGGTTTACGGGAGCTACATGGTTGTGAGAAAAAAAAAAAGGAAAAGTCACTACAGCAGTACCTTTAAAGACCCCCTGTGTGAGGCGTGTTTAGGAATCTGTGCTGAGGTAGGCTGGAGAGAAGAGCTTCTCTCAGCTGAGACTCGACTCAGCGAAGGAAGAAGAGGAAGAAGTGAAAGTTAAGTACCTCAAAGATAAATCAAGTTGTAATAGAGTGAGTGATGCAGAGGTGGAGTCTCACTTCATGAAGGCTCCACACCCAAAGCAAGGATCATTCGTTAGATGACACTAAAGAGCATGGAACTTATGATGTCATGATAGAAATGACAATTGTTCCAATAACTGTTGAAAAGAAACACAGAAAAACAAAGAAAATAATACAAATATTATTTCCCCTTTGTGGTGCATGAACTGTTTTCCCTAGTGACTCCCTCTCTCTAAATATTAAAATCATTCACTGTATTTTGATATAAAACATCTTAAGCAAAATCTAATCCCAGTCATTTTAATGATAACCCAACTAACTCAGCTAAAAGCACATTTTGGCGTGCGAGCGTTGAATCCTGGCGGGGGAAGCATCGGGGCGTCATCTGAAAGAAAGTCATTGCGGCGGAATCATGTGGAAGACATGAGAGCGATTGGCCAACGAGAGGCTTGTCCATTCTGGCTCCTGTGTAGCAGCGTGATAATGGGGATGCAACAAGTTTGTCAAACACCGGACTCCTCTTCTGATCCTGGGGACACAGACACAACTCAAGTCAGATTCAAAGTATATTAATAAAAAACTAAAATGAGTCGACAGGTTTTTGATGAGGTTAGCAAAACGTAAAAAGAAAGAAAAGTGAATTTACTCTTCTTATTGTTATTACAGCTATGCTCATTTACAAAGCTACATGAAACACTCGACTCCAGTTTGCTGCTAAACTCAAATAGCTCACTGCAACACACACATTGCATTATGCCAGGGCACACTCTGCTCACTATTTGGCTGCCATACTGCCATACTGGCTTACTGCTGCACCTCTCACCTGAAAACTATGCTGCTACTCTTGCTAATGTTGACATAGCTTTTCAAAAGCCACCACCTCTACCCTACATCCACCAATAGACTCTGAGGCTACACAGTTATTGTCGTCACTCCTCACTCTGTGCTGTGCTAAGCCTGGTGTACATACCCAGTTGGCTAATTGAGGTGGGTTTAGCTCAGGAAAAAGTATTTCAGATGTAGATTTTAGTGTTGAGCCTCTAATGATCTGACCACTTTTGGATTTTCCAAGATGTGTCATTAAAATGTTCATAAAAAACAACTATCATTTGACACCTGGTAATATTGTTAAAGATAAATAAGCGAGACACCCACCCTGATTGTGGTGTAATGTTTGGCAGTATAAACAAATGTCTGTGTTGCAGTCAGCGGCAGCCCCGTGATGGAGCCTGCAGGGTGGCCTGTCCATAGAAGTCCCCGGTCCTAGGAGTTGAGGCTCTGAGCGAGCCTGCTGCACCCGTTTTTGCCACACGACATGGGCCCCGGCACAGCAAGGCCACTCCTCCATCCCTCCAGAGTCCAGAATGAGGGGCACTGGGAGCAAAGCAGGGTGCAGCTCGGGGGGAGAGCAGCAGAAGCCTTGGCCCTGGCCGTAGTGAATGTGGATGCTACGGTCCTCCGGCAGATCCAGGCTCTGGTGGAAGCGGACAGAGGGGCCATCAAGCACACAGCCACTAACTCGCCCAAGAGGAGCGGGGGGGCGTCCATGTCCCTGGTGGCAGCAGTGGGGTTGAAGCTGTAAGGGGATCGGGGACATCAGGACAGGAGGTCCTGTGGGACTGCTGGGGTCATGGTCATGACGCTCTCCCTGTCCTGGGCTGGGCCGATCCGTGGGGTCTGGCTTTGGGCACTGGCAGGGACTGTGCTTAGGAGGGCACACAGGTGAGTCTTTGTCCAGGACAAGAGCAGCAGGTGCTGCAGCAGCAGATGCCCCCTGCTCCTCGTCCGAGCCTCTGCTCGGGCCCTGGCTGTGCTCCCCCTCCTCATAGTGGTGGTGTCTGTGGCGGTGGTAGTGGATGTGGCTGAACACAGTCTGTGGCTGTTCTTCAGGGCAGCCCGCTTTGTTCACCACAGAATCCAGAGACCTGGGCCGGGCTTGCGCAACAGCCTCTAGGCTGTTTCTCCGAGGGCCCCGCCCAGGACCTGGCCCATAATATACAAATGGATCGTAGTCACTACTCAGAGAGCTACGGAAGGTGGACCAGCTGCCATAAACTCCCTGCAGGGACACGTCAGTACAGTTAAGAACTGAGTCGCTGGAGGAGCCATGGCAGGGCCCTGAGCTGGAGTCACTTGCTGGCCCGTCAGCCAGATATCCACTGCGTTCTGTGTGGTAGCTTCCACCTGAGCAGCTGCCCTCGTCCTGCCGATTGTGGGCAGGCGCTCCACGGGTCTGTGGCGTGCCAGAGGCAGTGTGGTGCAGTCTTGAGCAGGATGCACTGCGCTGGGTTGGACAGGATGAACGATAGTTGTGGCAGGAGCGACGAGGCGTGTAGTGGTGAGTGGACGTCCTGCAGTTACCTCCAATCCTGTGGGGCCTTCCGGGACCCTCTGCAGGAAGGCGGTACCCACAGCCAGAGCCAAGCGGCCTGCTGGTGAGGAAACGAAGAGTTTGCGTGTCCATGGGAGAAGAGCCACTGTAGTGGCCCAGAGAGGGATATGGTCCAGAGGGTCCACGTGGGTAGTGGGTCCTTAAAGAGAAGGGGATAGCATGCTGAGGGAAAGGGTGGTTGTGCGGGCTGCTGTAAGGCTGAGGTTGGAGGAAGCCTTGACTTTGCTCTGGACTCTGCTGGAGTCTGCTCCTCTGGGTCTGCCGCTCTGGCCCTGTGGATCACAGCAGCAATTAGAATCAACACAGCACTATACAGCTACAACAGTTACCTCTGCTCATAGAGCAATTATTAAGATGAGGTTCACAAATGAATCTCAGTAAAACGTCTAAAACAAACCTAAATTGTTACTTATAAAA